CATTATAGTGTACAAAAATTTGCAGCAAATGCAATTTTGTCATAATTACAATTATTGACTCTGAGATAAGCTAAACATGTTAGATAGTCTATTAATAGGTTTTAGAAGCGAATCAATAAAGAAATATGATATTCGAGAAGACTGCAACTTTCTATGCATTATTAGACTGAACAAAATCTTGTTCCGCCTTTTTTCAGATTGATTAATTAGAGTCACATTTTGCTGTGTTCTCAAAATATAAATAAAGCGAACAACTATTACAATATATATCATAACTTTTTGTTGACTTTCGCATGCAATATACAAAATAAGGTTAGATATCTTTACTTGGAAACAATTACATGTACTTTGTAACAAATCTCTTGTGAATAAAACTAGACGATAATAAAAATGAAAATCGATACTCAAGTGACTTTCTTTTAACTTTACATCGTTGATAAATTCAGACATATTCTATTGATTTGAAAGTTGAAAATTGTGTGAATTTGTTGTGCCAAGTATCCTAATGTTAAGTATGAAGCTATAACACTTAAGGCTGATTCAATAAAAAAAAAGTTGTAGTTAAAACACTTTTCCATTATTTGATGCATGTATCCAATTACATACTTTTCTACAGTATCGTGTGTGTTTCTAAAAATATTGTCCGACAGCGCGATAGACAAAAATTTAAGTTTCAATATTTATGATCATCAATGAAAAAATTATTGTAATAGAGAAGAGGCATGTAGCCATGAATGTATATTAACAGAACTAAAAAGAATCCTCGGAATACAGATATAGAATGATGTTATACTATAATACGAATAGAACAGAATTTCACTTCATATATGTCTTTGCTATATCTATCATCAGACAATATTTCTAGAAACACAGATGATACTCTAGAAAAACTATGTATTTGTATGTATACATCAAGTAGTAAAAGAAAGTGTCTTAATTACAATTTTATATTCCATCGATCTAAGCCAAAAATTGTTTCATACTTGATATCGGAATATTTGACATAGCAAACTACAGAATTTCAATTGAAATGTCAGGTCATCACTTGAAAATATCTTTTTATCAAATTTCATTATAACTTGTTTATTAATAAGAAAATCGTACTATTGAAGGTTTTCAAACGAAATTAAAAACTTCAAACTGAGCATACATATGTACACATATGGTCATTCACGTAGCAACCAAGAGATTTGCGTTTATATCGTTCTAAAAATGCCGATAAATCATATTGCTTGAACTATCGAATATCTAAAAAGTGATCGCATCTATTTTTTTTTGTTTTAGGTCGTGGACGATTTAACTCAAGGAGTAAGTATCTCATGTCAATATATAAAAAATAATAGTTTCATTTATTTAACCTGAAGTTCAGATGAGCATCGTGTAAGTCGTCAGATATGTATACAAATTAATAACATATTTATTGTTTTAGGTTTAATCTCTACTCAGAATGGAAGGACCGGAATCTCGAAAACCTCTAATCAGTTTTCGGGATCGACTCTAGAAGTTTTACTGTAACTGTTTTTTGATTTCTTACGATCCGAAACCTTTTGTCGAAAACCCTTAATGATTTTCAGAGAGTAAGAAAACGGAAATTTTCCATAAGTTTTTGGAATATGGCTTTTGTTTGAAGAGTATAATAGTAGTGAATTCTACTGTCAATCGATACAAAACTGAAGAGCAGCGCTCGTTACATTTCCTCGTCTAGAGAGATTAAGATATTCATGAAAGCGTAAAAACTCTATTTGTCTTACTAAGTTTCAGGACTCTATATAAGATACTTCGCAAACATTTATCTTTGAATAGACTATCCTCTTTACAGACCCCATTTGAGATGTACGTGAAAAATCGACTCATATTCTGGTAAAGAAACGGTCAGATCTCGAAATCAGTTCACTTCTTGATGACCGCATCCGACTCAACTTAGAATGATACTATGAAAGGCATACCTCTTTCATAGAAAGGATTTCTAAACGATGGAATTCCACAACAGTTGCAATTACTCCTGATCCAAACTAATATTTGATCAATTTTTCGAGGTGCCGATCGGAGTTTGCTAATAATTCGATGAAACTTAATATTGTTCGTTCAATGATGACTCTTCGATCTAACGAAAAGTGACATTCCGAAATGTCGATCTGAAAGTTCAGTATCCTCGAAATATTCATCTGTCATGAATTTCGACAGGTTCTGATAGATTGAATTCACAGGAATTCGAGCGATCAATATTCCTAGCACTCAACGTTTTAATAATATTTAAAAGTTTTTCATTTTCAGCATTTCATTGTTTTCGAGTCCTTGAAGTCTATCGGATATTCTTGTACAAGAGAAGAGTCAAACATATTAAGAAAATAGTAGCATATACCGGAAATAACAAGACTTTCCGAAACTAGAACCGCAGTGTTATTTCATCCTTCGCCACTCGTACGAGCTGGTCGTTGTAGATACCATATCATAACAGATGATATTGCACTGATGGAACAGCGTCTGAGCATAACTCTATAAATACTTCGTTATCTTTTATTTCTAATAGGACAATGCATTCCAAGATTTGTTGGACCAACGACTTATCCAGCTTCCGCTGGAACGTACTTCTTGGCAGTAGGTGATTTGAATAATAATGGGCATCTTGATATTGTTGCCACAAATAATAAATCAGCAACTATCACCGTTTTTTATAATAATGGTCATGGCAGATTTCATCGTCAAAAGACCTATTCAACTGGTGGTACTGGTTCAGACGTAGATACTTTAACGCTTGCTGATCTAAATCACAATGGTTATCTCGACATTTTGGCACCCAATTATGGTTTAGATTACATTGGTATTTTCCTGAATCGACGTGATGGTACATTTGCTCCTCAAGTGATTTTGTCGACGGGTGCTGGCTCAGGACCGATCTCTGTGGCAACCGCTTATCTCAATCACGATCGTTATCTCGATATTGTTGTAGCAAATAGTAAAGGTAACAACATTGGTGTTATCTTTAGTAGAGGTCGTAACCTATATGCTCCTATGGTAACCTATTCAACCGGCTCTAATTCAGCGCCAAGATCTGTAGCAGTAGCTGATCTCAATGGTGACCATAAATATGACATTATTGTTGCAAACCGCGACGGAAACAACATAGGTGTTTTCTTCAATCAACGTGGTGGCATATTCGATCCTCAGATAGTTTATTCTACTGGAAGTGGATCGTTACCAAGATCTGTGTCAATCGCTGACTTGAATGGTGACCACAAACTCGATGTTATTTGTGTCAACAGCGGTACTAACACCATTGCCATTTTTCTCAATTCAGGTAATGGTACACTCATCCTTTACAAGACTCTTCCAACTGGTTCGTTACCGAGAGGTGCGGCAGTCGGATATATCAATAATGATAAAAAACCTGACATTGTCTACGTAAATACCAATGACAACAACTTTGGTCTTTATCGCAACAGCGGCCTTGGTCAATTTATTTCTCAAGGACCTTATTCAATTGGTGCTGGATCTGAACCATTTGGAGTGGCTACAGGCGATTTTGACGGGGATGGACTGGATGACGTTGCTACGGCAAACTTCGGTACAGGCAGTGTTAGCGTATTTATCACTGCTTGCCGTTAATCCATCAATAAAATATTATTTTATCAGCAGTATCTGACGAGTTGCAACTATAACACTGACATTGATCTATCATTTTTTTTTCCATATTGAGACAATTTAGTGGCATAAAATAATCTCTATTTCCATATATTCTTTTCCTTCTTGACTAACCCAGTAAGTGAAAAAGTTATTATCATGTAGTAACATTTACTAATAAATTCATGGTTAAAAATTGAATTGTCGCAAGTGTGCTGAAGAAAATCTCAATCTCTGATATATTGACTAGAACTCACGTTTACTCTATTGTCACTGTCTCAAGAGAGTAAATATTGATAATAAACTAGTCATAATAGTCAATTTCGATTTCATTTAAGATTTTCATGAGATGATATCATGCTGCGTACTGCAGAAACTTCATATTGAAGTAGAATAAACAATAATTCAATCAATGAACTTTGTAATCGATTTGAATCTACTACAATAACTGTTAGCTCACCTCGACAAGCTTAAGTTTATTTTTATTTCGATATGTCTTAAAACATCCTTAAAAACACGTGTATACATACAACAACATACAATAGCGAAGAGACCAGACAACAAAAAAAAAAGAGAAGAGAAGAAACAATAATAACAGTGACTGAAGAAGAAAGAAATATATAGCAAGTTATCAAGAAGTAGGAATGAGAATGAATCATCGCTAACATTTCTCTTCACACATTGCTATTGAGTTCATTCAAATTATTTTTTGACTTGATTGCATTCTAAGATTTCATGTTTGTCTATTAGAGATAAAGTTCAATAATCATTTTGTAGTTAAGAGACGCTCCATGAAAAAACTAAGCATTTTCGGACATCGAAAAACAGTGGTAAACAGATTTGAAATGTAACCCCATAGAAGGTTAGAACTTGGCATATCATAGAATAATCCAAAATATTACGACCTGAAGATGTAATTCTGGTCTGTTAGGGTCGACAGAACTGAGACACCACTAAGTGTCTACCTATAAGAATTAGTAAAGAAAAAGTGAAAAATACGACCTGTCAGTTTTTATGGATTTTTTGTTGAAAGTTTTTCACTTCTTTATAAAAGAATCAAAAAATTTAAATACAATGTATTATAGGGTGTACTTAAATCAATATGAAACAGATTGACGTAAATTTTTCAAAAATACAAATCAATCTTCTACTCTCAACTTTTGCTTTTCAGCAACCGATTTTCTTTGTCAAATATAAACTATTTAAAATAAATATGCTTGAATTAGAATTTTATTTAAAAAATTAATGCAGAGTTTATTTTACCGACGCGTTTCGTGTTATTTATTAAAATATCGAAACACTCACCAGCGCTCTGCATTTACAAATATAAGCAAATAAAAACGACACAACTTTCTTGGTTATAGTAAAAAAAATAACTTAAATAAATGTCGAAACTTCGGATTTAAATCCAAGAGTTATATGTACTTCAAAAATTGAATGAGACAGATGAGCTATCTCAGAATGTGTGGACATAAAAATTATCCTGATAAACCTTGCCTATAAACACTTGATTTCTATTGGTTACTGATCAACCAATGGGATTTTGAGGCAAGTGGAGTACAGATTCGAGTTCTCCGTCTCATAAAACCTCGAACTATCATCTCTGTGATCGGAAGATAGAGCTCTAATTGTGGATCAGTTAGAGCGGGGACCAAAACAGAACCAATTTCTGTTTAATTATCTTTGCAATATGTGAGTTGGCCTTCTTGTTTCTTTATATTTTATATATCATTTTGTAGCTCGTGAAATTCTCTATCGAATGGTATATAATAATTGGGGTTTTATTTGACTATTATAGGAAAATTTTTTTACGAAAACGGGGATAGGTCGATCTTCGCATAGGGAATAATGACTATTTTTGCAATAACTCAAAAATGGCTCGGCCAATCAATCTAATCTTCGAACTCAACCAAGATATTGTTGACACAAAAGTGTAGAAAATTTCATCACGATCGGACTCTTCTTTCCAAATTTATCGTGTAAACAGCCGGACATACTGACTGATTCTAGAATGTGCTCACTTTTTGAGTATACAAAAATTCATCGTGGGTGGTTTTTTGACCTTGCGACAAGCAAACGGATAAACTATTGTTTTTTTTCATATGACCTCCCTTCAGTCGAGGGAATAATCTATTCAACATTGTCGAAATAATTTACTTGTATTCGATAAATACGACTACCTAATCGGTTTATCATCAATATATACATCGAGTCTATCGATGATCATGTTCATAATTTAAATGATGAGATGAACTCTGTGAACAACAAGGCAAAATTTCGAGTGAACAACTATTTCATAATTGATATTTGAAGAATTTTATAACCAATACCGATGACTTTGATGATAAACAAAGTCATTAAAATTCTTTTTGATTATTAGTAGAAAACGTGAAATTTCTTATTTGAATATTGGCAAAAAAAGCCCATTCAAGAACATTATAAACTTGGACATAGTAATATAAGTGAATTCATCATTTCATAGTTTTGAAATAATAAACTAAACTATTTTTTCTACTCTTCATATTTATTACATTCATTGACAATATTTATGCCAGTTATGATTATATTTGACAAGCTCTTTTACAGCAAAATTGAAACAATTATCAAAATGCTCGCTTTCATAAACAGACTTTTGACTAGTGAAAAATAATAGTTGGCAGTTTGATGATTGTATAGATAACGGAATAAATATTTTTAAAATTTGAATGCATAAGATTGAAAGCAAATAAGAATTAATCATAAACTTCTGTCAATTCAAGATAAGATTTAGCCATAATACTTATTAATCAACACAATATTTAAGTCATGTATTTGATAGAAACTTTATAATAATGCAAATATTAGGATATGAGCATGATTGACATGATATCGATCACCTATCCATATGTGCACTTTATCGGAATTATATATTTTCTTGTTCTTTCTCGGAAAAGACAGTTTTGTTACTCAAGTCGGCGTTTATATCACTTACGCTTTCGGTAAGAGATTATTACTGACTAAACCGAATAGACATTACGTGATGTCATGGAAAATATCTGGTTTCTTTTTTTCTTATTGCTCTAGTTCCTTTAGTTAGACTTTATAACTGTCTTTGGATTCTGAAATATTTCGTCTTATAATACGATTCTCGATGAGTTTGAGTGGCAAGAATGTTAGATCTTGACTTGTACTTTCGATTGATCGATATATCCCTTAAAATGAAGATTTTCAATATGTTTCTATTGATGGAAAGTCATAGAATTATCGAAAATCTTGTGTTATATGTATTGCGAATTGAGAGAATATCTTTCTATGGATAGTCGTGATTAAACTATGTTAAATCTGTGCCAATTTATTATTATGACTGGAGAAATATTTAATTATTCTACTCTTGTTACGATAGTCTGTTGATAAGTTAATTTGTCGACAATATTTGTCTGAAATGAATGAATATTATTGCGACAATCCTTTTCATACTTCATAAGTATTCTATTTAAGTTCTAGATTAAAAAAAGAATGATGGCTTCTAAACAAAATAATGTAATTGATAAATTCTCATACTTATCAATTAAAACACAACAAGAGACAGAAACTAACAGTGGAATTAATCCTCTTTGGTTAATACCATATTCATTCAAGTGTGGTTATTCATTTCAGTGTCCATGAACATTCAAACAATTAATTGATCGACAAATAAGCCCAAAATATTTTTCCAAGAAATATTAACTGTGACTGAACAAAATAACAAAATTTATGATTTTCATATGCGATTACACTCACAAGGTCAGTATGGTTTGTCAATGGATTTCATATACAACAGAGATGTCCATCGCGGCGCTGCCGCACCGCCGCCGCTGCCGCGGTGGCGGTGGCGGCGCGGCAGCGGCAGGTTTTTAAAAAAAATCACCGCGGCAGCGGCGCGGTAGCGGCAGATTTTTTTAAAAGTCATCGCGGCAGCGGCGCGGTAGCGGCAGGTTTTTTAAAAAACCATCGCGGCAGCGGCGCGGCAGCGGCAGGATTTTTTTGGAGGACATTGAAAAACTGTATGAATTTAATAGAATTTCACGATTTACAAATGAAACGCCCTGATATTGAATAAATCTGATGGACTAGTACCCATATCTCTGGTCAAATATAGTCACAGCAGTGAAATTAGAAACACTTTTTTGAAAATCGTCGCGGCAGCGGCGCGGTGGCGGCACGTTTATTTTATAATTCATCGCGGCAGCGGCGCGGCAGCGTTTCTTTTATAAGTCATCGCAGTGCGGCAGCGTCGCGGCAACATTTTTTTATAAACCGCCGCGGCGCGGCAGCTTTTTTTTTCTAAGGCCGCGGCGCGGCAGCGGCAGATTTTCAGCCGCGATGGACATCTCTGATATACAAGCATGCTGATGATCAATCAAGTCCAGTTAAGGATAATGCGTGTATTTCGTGTGATATAAACAATCAATTATCACAATTGAGTTTGATTAAACAAAATCCGACAATATATATTTGGTTAGATACACAACTGAGAAATAGATTGATTGTTACACCATGACGACATCTTGAACGATTATCGAATATGACAGAATAAGAAATGACACAATTCTGGCCTGATACACAAGTTATTTTAGAGGAAGAAGAATGCGATTAGCAAAGTATGGTTTTAAATCATGGAAAATATCGAAAGCATGTTCATTTGCAAATGAAAATTAATATTGAACAACATCAATGGAATGAATATATCAAGAAGAAATATGAAGAGAAAATACAACAAAATGAAACATTTATTCAAATGTAATTAACATAATCCTATGAAAACTTATATTGTTCATCAAAAATTTAATCAATGGAGTAAAATAAGAAGTAATCAACCAATGAGAAAAACATGCACAGATATGACAGAAAAATGAATCACAAATTAAATTATCTAAAAGACATCTATTTTCGTATTATCAACTAAAAAGTTTTACCTTATCTTGAATAAACATGTCGGTATAATACAATATACAACAGATTAATTA